ACCTCGTGGCTGGCACCCCGGGCCTGCTGGCCTCTCTGCTCCACCCACGGCCTCCCACGGGCGTCCCCCGGGGATTGCAGGGCCTCCCACGTGTCCTTCTGCAGTGGCTCGCGCTGGTGGGGAAGGCTCCCGTGGGGTGGGATGAGGTCTGTGCCCCACGAGTGGGTGATGGGGTGACCATGCAGCAAGTGGGAGGATCAGAGGCTGTACCCAGAGATGGTGATCCCTGTTGGATATTGGCCATGGGACTTTTGCTTTGTGCATGGGATAAAATGGTGCCCACCTTACCCTGTCTGCCCTGCCTGCTGCTGAGGTCTAGCACCCACAGAAAGCCCACGGAGGGGCAATCCAGGTTTGTGGGGGTCTGTAGAGGTGCTTTGGGCTAGACTAGCTGGGCCTGTGGGTGAACTGTCAGTTAGCTAAACTGGTGGGTGAACCAGCAATGGGGAAGAGAAGGGAAAGTGAGGGAGAAGGGGCCAGGTGGGGAGGCTGGCAGAGGAAAGCCAAGCACTTTGGAGGCTGGGGAGCCTGTGGGATCGAGGAAGGTTTGGCAGACATGACTGGTGGCTGTAGGAGAAGACCCTTGGCCGGGGTACCCCCGGTGCCTCCCCTCCCTCTGCTCTGTTGGCCAGCTGGCTCCTGCCTTTAGGACCAGGGATGAAAACCACCCCCCATCCCTAGGGACATCAAGGCTTCTGTCCTTTACCACCAACATTATTGGTGGGACTTGCAGGAGCTCAGTACAGCAAAGACATGAACCTGTTGGAGCGAGTCCAGAGTAGGGCCACCAAAATGACCAGAGGGATGGAACACCTCTCCTATGAGGACAGGCTGAGGGAGGTTGTTCAGCCTGGAGAAGGGCAGGCTCCAGGGAGACTTTACTGCAGCCTTCCAGTACTTAAAGGGGGCTTATAAGAAAGATGGGGACAGACTTTTTAGCAGGGCCTGTAGTGATAGGACATGGGGCAATGGTTTTAAACTAAAAGAGGGCAGATTTTGACCAGGTGTAAGGCAGAATTTTTCCCAATGAGTGTGGTGAAACACTGGCACAGGTTGCCCAGAGAGGTGGCAGATGCCCCATCCCTGGAAACATTCCAGGTCAGGTTGGACGGGGCTCTGAGAAACCTGATCTAGTTGAAGATGTCTCTGCTCGTTGCAGGGGGGTTGGACTAGATGATCTTTGAAGGTCCCTTCCAACCCAAAGATTCTATGATTCTATGAAATACCCCCATGACCTCTATCATAAGGTGATGAAATGGCCAGGGATATGCCTGAGATGGTTTTGCAGTGAGGAGGGTTTTAGCCCCAGCTCCTTCCTTCTGCCCTGGGGTTTCCTCAGACTTTCCCTGGCTCTCTCCAAAACCCTGCGCCCCTGTGGCCAGGTGCAGGCCGGCCTCGCCAGCCTTTCTAGGCAGTTGTGCGGGCAGCGGGGCGGGCGCCGGGCCGGGGAGGAAGCACAGCTCCTGCCTTGCAGGGGGAAGTGAGAAACTGCTGTGGAAAGTCAAAGATGGGCAACACCCCCCAAAAAAACCCACTTGCCCGGCTCCCTGTCCTGTCAGCCAGCTCCTGGGGTGGCTGTGGGGGGGATGGAGGTGGCCAGGCTCAGCTGGTCCCTGGCCATGCAGACAGCCATGTGCGGGGGACGTGCCGGTGAAGTTGATGCAAGAGGGAACTTCTCCAGCTGTACCCCCAGCACCACCATGGCAGAGAACCCTGAAACCAGGGGAACAGGGACCCCGTACAGACCCCTGAGCGTGCATTGACAACAGGTTTACTTAATTCTTCCATTTTTACAACCATATTTTTTGTCTCCCTCTGCTCTCCATGCAGGCAAGACGGACAACCCCCTGCCCTGTACACAAGGACGGGGAAGCGTGCACAGAGGGGATCTCCCCCAGGCCCAGGTAGGCAGGCCGGGCAGGAGGGGAACGCTGCCCCACCATGCTGGCAGGCAGGCAGGCAGGCAGGCAGGCAGGCAGGAAGATACCGGCTCCCCATAACAGAGAGGGGATCAGAGGGGCACTCAGCAGCCGAGGAATCCAATGTGGATCGAAATGCCGCTTCTCTGCATTGCAGATGCCAGTGGTGTCCCATAGAGGAGACGCCAGGCTGAAGCTCTAGCAGAAATGAGAGCAGAAGCCCTTACCTGAGCAGAAAGAGGGGCTTTTTCAATGGGCTTTGTATGGGAGTTTCTTTTTCAAATCACTGCGCTGGTTGGGGTGGGTGACACATCCGCAGGGCTGAGCCACGGTGGTGACTGGGTGGGAAGTGGGATTGGAGCCCGACAGTCCTGCTCCCTTTCCCTCTCACCCCCGTCTCCTGTGAAGCAGGTTGCTCTGCCTCCCATGAGCAGTCCTCCCAGGGCCAAAACATCCCCCAGCCTGGCTTCAGCTCCTTACGCCTCTCCAGACACACAAAGGTTGCCTGAAATCACTTCACTGGCTGCGGAGCATGGGGATGAGGAGATGCCTGATTCATGGCGCAGGGATGTTCCTCCTATGACGGCCAGCATGGCTGCTGCAGATAACTGAGAGCCCAGCACTGGAGCCTCCATAGCTCCTGCCAGCGAGCCACAGGCTCCTGGAGCCCCAGGGGACAGCCACAGGCATGTGGACCAGCCCTTCCACCATCCTCAGCCCTGAGGCTGAGACAGGGACCCATCCCACTCTGGGTCGTGCAGAGCCTCAGCCAGATGAAGGCTCACCTCCGTGTTTAGGTCTGGGAGAGGACTCGTGGTGAGGAATTTGGGCCTTGGCACCTGTGGCAGCTCCTGTGATTCTCCTTATGGGACAGATACCGTGAGCCTGGATCCAGCACCACAGCAAGGGAGAAGAGGGAGGGTCACCCTTCAACAGCAGCCTCTGGTCCTGCAGCCCCAGAGAGAGCTCAGGCTTGGACAGGGGGTCACCTCCCTGTCATCAGAGGGACAAGTGGGTGACTCTGCCATGAGCGGTGGCCCTCAGCGGCCCGCTGGTGCTTGGCGGCAGCACTCCCACACCTTGCTTGGCCACCGCTGCTCGGTCCCTGAAGCCTCCTTGGGCAAGGAGGTCACCTCACCGAAGCTGGCACTTCATGCACATAACCCCCCATGGCACTTCTAATTGCCTAACCACCCCCTCCAGGGCCAGCAGGGTTTCTCACCCAAGCCATTGGCCATGCACCATTCAGCCAGGGGTGATCGGCTGCTGTAATTGCTTGGGAACAGCAAGCCTGCACTAGTGAGTTCTTTTCCGAAGCAGAGCCCTTCCTGCACAGTAAAGCCACATGCAGGCAGGTGAACAAGACCATCTACAGAGAGATGCCACAGACCAGCACCGCCGGCCAGCTCTGGGGCACAGGCAAAGCCTTGAAGACACTCACATAAATTAAATCATCCCGCCTACGCTCGCATCACTCCCTGCCTGGTTCTGTGTGGCATGGAAACATCCATCACCGGGAGCCCTGTCATCCCAAGTGACACAGGGTATTTCTGCAGCTACCATGAGCTGAAGTGACGGCTATCTGGGGCTGTAATGACAAGCCCATGGAGCTCCTCTAGACCAGCAGTCTCTGTTGCCTGCCCCTGGTCCTCCCTGACTTCAGTGATTGTAGGTCAGAGCAAAGACAGATTTTTTTTGCCCCTCTTCCCTCCCTCGTTCCCTGCTTGGGAAGACAGACTTGTTTCCCGTCCCCTGGGTACCCAGCTGCACAGGGGTTTCCCACAACCACCGGTGGATGCCTGCCACCGTGTGAGAGAGCCCAGAGGGAGGAAAGACCTGGGTATTACGGTGTGCGGAAGACAGTGAGGGGCAGGACTGTGAATAGAGCAAACGCTGGATGCACCTTGCTCTGTGTGGCCCCAAGCCTCCTTTTATTGAGGTCAGTAGCAAAAATGGAGCTAATGGCAGTGGTGTGGGACTTGATCCTAAGGTAACTCCTTGCTTCCCTCTCCATCTTCCTTTTGCTGCCCGCTTTCTGCTGTTCCAGCCCCGTGTCCCCAGGAATCACCCATCCAGCAGCAAACGTCAACCTCACAAATGGCACAGCAGCCTCCGCCATGCTCCGCCCTCGCTGTCTGCGTCTCCTCTGCCTCCTCCTGACAGCATGGCCGCAGCAGCTGTCGGCAACTCAGTGTAACTCGGCGTGATCCACTTCAGCTTCCTCCAGCGCTTACAGGTGTAACTTGGGACTCAGCGCAAACGGGGAAGTGGAAAAGGGCAGTCATCCTAGAAGGCTGATCTTACTGGAGGCAAAACCCGGTCCTCAGCCAGCTCACGTCCATGCAAGGCTTTGCCCACCCCAGGGACAGGCTCTGGACATCGGCAGGGAGCAGCCAGAGCTCTCAGGCTCTCTCCTCACCAGTGCAGTTCTGGGTGGTTTTGGTGGTGACCAGGGCTGTGGCCCCCAGCTCGGTGGCGGGCAGAGGGAAGCCATGGTTGCACTCCTCATGTCGGGGGTACACGGCGGAGAGCAGGATGATGTCGCCATCAGCATCGCCCTGGCAGCATGGTCTCTGCTTTGCCCCAGCTTTCCTGGGCGGCCCTGGCATCTTCAGGCCTTCATTGAGATTGAGGCATGGGGCTGGGGCCAAGGTGGCATCTCCCTCCAGCATGGCAGGGTCCTGGCAGCCCAGGACAGACGGGGGTCCGGCAGTGTCCACGTTTGCTGGGGGAGGGCAAGAAAAGGGGGTTACTGGGCTCACAAAGTGGGACCAGGTAGGTCCCAGACAGATGGTCCCACCCCTGAGGACACACAAGGGGGAGATGGGGCTGGAGCAGGAGGAGCCTGCAAGGTCACCACCACACCTCTCCTGCTGCAGAGCTCCTCCTGCTTACAACTGATGTTTTTTTTCCCCCCTAAAAAGCAATAGGGAAAGGCAGAAACTCACACTTGCACCTCGAGCCCTCTTGCTAATCCCTGCCCGTGGCAGAGCAGCCCGGCCCTTGGTGGCTCGCCCTCCCCAACCACCTCCTGCTTAAAAATAGACTTGTTTACACGCTTCGAACGCAGGCGCGTGCCACCAGCCCCAAGCCTCCTGTGACTTTCCACGCATCCAGTGCCGCAGCGGTGGGCTTGCCGGGGTGCAGCCCAGGGGAGACGGGGAAGGACAAGGGACCAGGGCATGTGTCGGGGCAGTAGCCGAGGGGTGCCTCCGACACTCTCCGCCATGGCCGGACCTCTCTTGTCGCTGGATTTCTCCCTCCTCTTTCGTTCTTGGTATTTTTCCCGGGTGTGTGCGTCACAGGCTGTCACAGCCGCACTCGGTTTAGTGGAAAGGCCCCAGGTGATGTCCCCTCTGGTCTGAGTCACTCAGCCAGCACCGCCCCGGGTGGTGGGGTGGTGGTGGGTGCCAGCACCTCATGGGGGTCCTGGGGAGCCGTACCCCCTGCCCGGGGACGGGGAGTGGTGAAGCCAGGTGAGACCGTTTCTGAGAAGAGTGGCCAGGGTTGAGTCAGTGCAGGGCAGGGGTCCCCCGGGGGAGGAAATGGCCGCCTGGCCCCTGGCTGATGCCCCAACAAGATGGGCCATCACAAGGCACCGTGGCCTCACCCCCTGGAAATACCCCACCAGGAAAGGCTCGGCCCCATCCCTCGCCCCCCAGCCCTGTTTTTGATGCCTTTGGGAATGAACCCCGTGTGGTGCTCCGGTGTTCTGCTAACCGGGCTGGCACTGACATCATCGGGGTCTTTGGGGTGCATGTTGGAGGGTGCCGGGCATCCCAAAGGGCAATACCGGGCTGGGCTGTCAACATGGGACACCTATTTGCAGTGCCGTGGGGAAAAGCTCCCTCTGGAGCCATGCCCAGATGTCCACCATCATCCCCACAACCCCTGCTCCATCCATGGCCCTCCGGTTACTGGGATAGAAGGACAGACAACTTGCCAGTGCTGTGTACGTGTCCCCTGTGGAGAGAGGACGGTGCCAGTGGGTGCTTTAAGCAAGCGAAGGCACGGGGAGACCCAGGAAAGGGAAGGACAGTTCAGTGGGGTCGTGCTGGGAGCCAGGTGCAGGTGTGGGTTCCCAGGGGACACAGGACACTATCACTCAGGGGGTGGCTCAGCTGCCCCGAAATGCCCCAGGGTGCCTGAGGAGCCCTGTGTCAAGGTGGAGGAGCTCATCTCAACAAGGCCGTGCCTCGGGGAAGCCGGCAGCAAGCGATCCCATCTGGCCTGGGAGCCTTGGACAGGGAGAGCAAGAGGTCTCCTACCTTTGGCCTCCTCATCTGCTGCTTTCCTCTTCCTCCTCTGCTTGCCCACCTTGCAGGCCAGGAAGCCACAGAGGGTGGCCAGAGCCAGGATGACCCCCACCACTGCTGGGACGCCGAAGATCAGGAGGGTGCTGGGCAGGTCCACCGAGGGGAGGGTGGGTGCCAGGGCAGAGGTGGGTGCCGCACGGGCGGGCTCTGCTGTGGGGTGAGATGCCGGCAGTGTCAGGATGGGGAGAGCCGGGGCGGGGGAAGGAGGGTAGCAGCGTTACCCACCCATCCACCCATCTGTCGAGCCTTGAGACTGCAGTGGTGGGGAAGGAGAGTGGCTCTTCACCACTACCCACCCACCACACGCAATGAACCGTCCTGAACCCCCTGCCTGGTGGGACCCTCATTGCACCTACTGCTGTTCCTGGCTGGTGGGAGATGAGGGTGTCCTGCTCTTCCCATGGTCATCCCTGGGCCTTCCTGTGACCCTTGCACTGGGCTGGATCACCCCTCTTCTTCCCGCACCGCGCTCCCCTCGCTGGAACTGCTGCCCTCTTCCTCCCTCCTCCAGGTGAAGGCAGTGCTCCGTCCTCCATCTCCATCCGCAGGAGAAGGTCCCCTCCACTTGCCCAGCCCCGGGGTGCCCCCAGCCCCCTTGGCCCACCACCGCCACCCCAGGGAGCCCGGTCCCCAGCCGCCCTTGTCCCCTTACTTGTGTTGTCCTTGAACAAGTCGGAGCACTTGACGCAGGACCTGATTAGGAGGTCGAAGCACTGGGAGGAGAGGCAGGAGGAGGCAGCGGTGGATTTTCCCGACGAGGACATGGCAGATTGGGAGTGAGAGCCCTGCTCCCGCATGGCGCGGCGGCAAAGGGGCCGCCCGAGTGCGAAATCGCAGAGCCCCGGGGCCCGTGGCGGAGGGAGATACAGTCTGTCAAGCTGCGTCGTCTCCCCTGGGGCTTGCGATCGCTGCGCTTGCCCTGGGGCGGATCTTCACCAGGGAGGAGGAGAGTGAGTGCCCAAGCCCTATCCCTGCCTGCCCGTGCAACATGCTCTCAAACTACCCCTCTCCTCCAAATCATGCTTCCGAAATCCCCGCAGCCCACAGCGTGCCCCAGCCACGCAGCACCCCGTGCCCAGCGGCACAGCACCTCAGCCTGTCACCTCCTTGGCCCTCACCCTTCCCCAGACCACCTGTACATTGCCGCCAGCCCAGGCATGTCCCCTAGCCCGCGCCCTCCCTTGCCGGCCAGCGAAAAGCCCCCTCAGCATCCTCTGGTGCCTACAGGAGGCTTTCCTGTGCCCAGGTCTTTACAAGACTGCTCAGTGACTGCCCAAGGCACGGACAAAGCAGGTCACACCAGGCAAGTCTGGTCCCCACACCCTTGGGAGGGGACTAAATAAACCCTTATTAGCCTTAGGTGTTTCTGATCATGAGCAGGAGAAACCTTCTGCCACCAGTACCCGTATATCAAAGCTTGATGTCTGAGATCTGAAGTGGATAAATGATGGATTTCAGTGCTGCAGGTGGCTGTTCTCTGTCCTTACCAAACAAAAGTCACATCCCCTTTTCCTTCACCCCGTAGGAAAGAAAGGGACCAGCCACAGCTGCTGGCTTGCTCTCAGCTGAAGAAAGCACTGTGGTAGACCTGCCCCAACCAGGAGACGCCTAATGAGGTTTCACTGCTGGAGTCCCAACCTTGCAGCAGCTACAGGCCTCTGGGCTCTTTCCAGTGAGGTATCTTCCACTCGCCGTCCTGGACCGAGGCTGGGAGGGGAGGAGGAGAAAAGCCAAAGGATGCTCTGGCTCACAGAGTACCAGGTGTCCCTACTGGGCAACCGAGCTCACATGAGCGCAGCAGAGGACTTAGTCCCTGGGTATGCCTGCCTCTCTCCAATGGCTTTTGGGCCAGCTGAGCCCACAGCCTCCGCACCTCACCCCCTGAAGCCCTGGGTGGGACTCCGGCACCAGCTCCCCGCGCCGGGTCGCAGCCCAAGCACAGCTCTCCAGTACCCCATGCCCCGCAGGGCAGGAACTGCCCTATGGCAGGGCCCCCCCGACCCCCCGGTCGCGACTCCCTTCCTGCTGGCAGTATCCCCAGAGGGTGGCTTGCACCGGGGCAGCCCGAGCACCACCTCAGCCCTTCCTGCCAGGCACCGGCGGGGCTCCGGGAGAGTGAAAGTCCCAAGCAAAACCGGTTGCTGCCCACCGGTTCCACGCCTGCCGCGATTTCACTTCCCTTTCCAGCTGGCATGCCCAGCCGCTCGCTCCCTCGCCCTTCACACACTGGCTGCCGGCGAGCACCCTGCCCGGCTCCGCTGTGCTGGAGGGGATGGCTGTGCCAAGCCCGGGGGGCTGCGGGCTCCGAGGAGGAGCTGCGGGAGCCTGGCCATCATTCCTGCACCTGTGACTCAGTTATTCCTCCTCTGCCTTAGTCAAAGTAAAACTCCCCAAGTGAGCGGGGGCACGCCAGGCACTTCCCTCTCTCGGCGTGGCCCCAGGCTCTGAAGCCACGGGCAGCACGTCCAGCTTGGCACCCTCCACCTCGAGGCTTGCCTTCAACAGGCTGCGCTTGCCTCTGTGCAGGTACCTGCCGGGGAAGGACACCTCTCCGTATCCCACCTCAGCCGGCTGCCTGCCTCTCGCGGCCCTGGGCGAGGAGCAGGGCTGCGGTGCAGGTGTAGGAGCAGGAGGGGCACGTGTCCAGAGGCTGGGTGCACCGGGAGCAGCTCTGGGGGGCCGGAGAGCCGTGCCACGGTGCTATGCTCCGCAGCAGGGACTAGGGAGCAGAAAACATCTTGCCTTGTGGGCTGCCGGGCTGGAGCCATGCACAGAGGCAGAGTGCTCTGTCAGGACACCTGCCCCAGAAACACCTCCCTGTTCAAAAGGCTTTGCTGTTCCTCTTGCCCTGGGGCATTTCCACCTGCTCGTCTCCTTTGCCCGAAGAGGGATGCTCCTCCATCATCCCTCTCTCACCCTCGCCCCTGTAATCCCCCCGCTGTCCTTCCCCCACGTCAGTCATCTCTCGGCGACCCCCAGCCCCTGTTCCCGTGGGTCTCGCTGTAGCACTGTCACCCTGCCCCTTTCCCTCCCCTCCCTGCTTGGCTTAATGCAGGGTGGGAAATGGGTCCTGGCATCTGCTGTACCACGCTTACAGATTAACTCTGTGACCCCTCCAGTCAAACATATGCACTGGGGAAAGCCCAAACCAAAGTACCTACATGTTGCTTTTGACGTGGATGGGGAGGTTTACAATAGAGCTCAGGAGATGATGGTTCCCATTTCGGTACCTGGAGTGAAAACCTGAAGCATGGCAGGGAGCCCGGGGGTGGCAGCCATGATGTCCTCCTACAAATAAAGCTTTCCCAGGTCCTATTACGTGGAAGGATGTTGCAGCTGCATCACCACGATTGATCTTACCCTACACCCCCCCATTTTCTTAGCCCTCTTTTTCCCCCCTCTACAGCTCTTCCACGCTCCCTTCCCAGCCCGTCCACCTCCTCCTGGGCCAAGAAAACGATGTTTGAATTCACACATGGTAACACTTACTCACAGAGAAAATCACCGCTGACTTCCCCAGCAGCACTCGCACATGTGCCTGCTCACCAGCCCGGTCCAGGCTGCCTGGCCGCCTCTGGGCATCGGCCATCCCCGCTTCATCTCCCCCATCTTTGCCTCCCCTGCCCTTCATAACGGCAGTTGATAATTTTTGGAGCAGCAAAAGTTAAGGCTTTGTGAGTAGTTTGAACTGTTTGCATCTAAGAGCTGAATATGCTTGATAATGGCACAAATGCATAATTAAAGAGCAGAAAAAATGACTCACTGGATAAGGAAATGTGCTTTTCTTATCTCCTCTGCAGAGAAACGAAAGCCCCAGGAGCCTGGGACTCTGTCTAACTAAGTGCTTTTATTAAACGAATAAACCAGCAAAGATATCAAACAAGCTATTTAAAAATTATATCTTAATCCTGGAGTTGGAGAGCTCGATTTCCAGTGCTGTTTGGTCCAACTGTGCACTTGGAGGCTTTGGCTGGGGTCGGCTGCTGGGATCCCTGTGGAGAGCACAGCAAGGGACAGAGCAGTGCCAGTGACCCCGGGAGCAGGGAGGGACATCGGTGTCCTGTGAGTGCTCGTGCACACATGAGTGACCGAACTTGTGTGTGGTTCCTCTGGTGTCAGGGGTGGGTGAAGTGACTCACGCACGCGCTTGCAGAACCGCCCGTAGCAGAAAATATCCACCGAAAGTTCACCTTGTGCTCGTGTGCACCGGAAACCCAAAGGCTTGTCGATCAGAGAAGCTGCGAGGTGTTTATCAAGCAAACCCGGTTACCTTGGGACAAACCTCTGACAGGATACACCCAATGCCGCAGGAGCGCCTCAGCACAGCCCGACGTCTGCCCTGCATCCCAATGGTGCTGCTGGAAGGCTTTGGGTGGAGCCAACCCCCAAAGCACATTTGGCACCTCACTCCTGCGCCCCTTCCCAGTGCCCTTGCGCTGGCTGGTGGGAAGCACCGCCTCCCGCAATGTCCCAGTACAGCTCTCAGGGTTTGTTTTTTTTTTCAGAGTTTCAGCACAAATCTGCTTGTCAGGATCCACTGCGATGCCCCAGCACAGCCCAGCTTCCCCTCTGTTCTGCCTTCTCAAAGCCAGCCAGGCTTAGGGACAAAATCTGGGAAGATTTTAGGAATAAGGTGGGAAACCAAAAGCTTCAAGAGATTCACCACCACCCTAAAACCCAGACTCCTCTGTAGGTGCTCTGCTTCTTACCGAGAGATTTTGTGGCACTGCTCAGCCACCTGCACAGGGAGTTCAGTGCGAGGCAGTGCCCCAGTAGCACCGGCTCCAATTAACATCCTTCATCTCCCCCCTTCTTATTTGTATGTCCCTGGAGTTGTGCTCGTCCATGAGGTTAAGGAAAAACAAGCAGGTGTCCTTGGCTCCATCTGCAGGCAGGCTCGGACCCCCCAGGGCTGGTGCTGAGCACCCACAGTAGGCTTCTATGGTAGCCTGCCCTTTGAAGACCTCCTCCAGGGTTGCAGAGGGAGGGTGGTGGGTCGGCATGGCCTGGGCTCAAGCTCCCTCTGCCCATACCCCTTCCCTGCTCCAGAGAGCCCAAAAGGGACACAGCAGCACTGAGGACATGGAGGAATCCTCCCTCCCTGATCCTGCCCTGGGGGAGCTGAGCCCTTGACCTCCCCTGCCAGGAGCAGGCAGTGGGGGGCTGCAAGGGGTGTTTCCAGCTGGTGTGCTGGTGGCTCTTGCTGCTCTGCAGAGTGCAGTGGGACCCTCTTAGTGAGGCTTGAGTCCCTGGAGGCTGCCTGGGCTCTCACAAGCCCCCCATGTCATGAGTGGCACACCACGAGCTGAGCCTGGCTCTTCTGCCTGGATGTCCCCACAAGCAAATCCCCCTGCCTGCTCTGCCTGCGGCAGGGATGCTGCCCCCATCCCCACCCTAGTGATGGCTGGGAGCTCGTGCTGACCCCCTCAGGTGGGTGGGTGGAGGCCAAGTATGCCCCCAGCTTCACCTGTGGCTGGTTAGGGAGTGTTCACGTGCCTGGCAGGGCCAGGCAGCACCTCCAGCGCTGAAACAGAAACAAATGGCTGAGGGTGATGCACCGCCACGCTACAAACCTCCAAGCAGGTGGGTTCAGCTGGTTCAGGCATGCGTACGCCGGGCAGAAACCTTGCCAGCACTTCCAGCGGGGAGCCCTACCGCTGCACTCTTGGGGCACGGAGGTCTCCAGCAGACAACTCCAGAGTGAAAAATCAAAGCCTGTTGAAGGCGAGGGGCTGTCTCCTTTTGATCCCCCCTGCTTTGCAGCTTGCTCCAGCAGCAAGGGACAGGAAACCAACTG